AAGAATGGCAATGGCCATGCTGAATCGGTACCTAATGAGATGACACAGTCATTACAGAGCTGCACAGAGGCTGCCATTAATGCGCTGGGTCTCCTTTCGCCCTGTGATCGGCTCCTGCCTGGGGCGGATGGCGGGGCTCCTCCACCCTGCTAAAACACGGTCCCACAAAGTCATTGCAAATGCCACCTCCCACCTCTCTTGCGGCAGGCACTGAACACGGTGCAGCCCCTTCGTGGCCATGGCTTTCTGTGGCTGGGCTCTGGGCAGGGGTGTAAATGTGCCAAAGCAAAGGGACATGACGCTGGGTGCCCCATTTCCCGGCGGGGGTGGCTGATGTAGGAGCACAGAGCGGAACCCAGACCCCGCGGTGGCCTGTGGACCCCGTCACAGGGGCGGCGGGTGGGCTGCTCAGCATGGCGTGTCCCACAGGGACCCCCGAGCTGTCCGAGGTGCAGCGCAGGGAGCTGGAGAAGCAGCTCAAGGCCCGGGAGGAGCTCCTCCTGCCCGTGTACTACCAGGTGGCTGTGCACTTCGCCGACCTGCACGACACCCCGGGCCGCATGCAGGAGAAAGGCGTCATCACGGTGAGCCAGGGCATCGGTGGGAAGGGGCTTGGAGCAGGGAGTTTGGCAGTGGTGGCACGAAGGTGGGAGGCAAAGTCCCCTCCCAGGGGTCTGGGCTGCAGCTCAATGTGCTGTTCCTGCCCTGGGTGCTGCTCTGCTCAGGCCTGGCAGAGCTGCCTTCAAACCCGCCGGTGTGAGCTGTGAGCAAGCAGTCGCTGCACATCAGCTCCTCTTCTTTCTGCAAAGACGAACCCGGGCTCTGGCCCCATTTCTGCAGGACATCCTGGAGTGGAAGAACGCCCGCTCCTTCCTCTACTGGCGGCTGCGACGGCTGCTGCTGGAGGAGGTGGTGAAGGCGGAGGTCCTGAAGGCGAACAGCGAGCTGAGCCACATCCACATCCAGTCCATGCTGCGGCGCTGGTTCATGGAGACGGAAGGAGCCGCGAAGGTACCCCCAGCCCCGGCTTCCCGAGGCATCCCTGTGGCCAGGGGGATCCCAAGGACTGTCACCTCGCTCTCCTGTTGCTCGGCTGTTTCCTTTGTGCCTCCCTGAGGGTTTAAACATGCAATGGGAATTACCATTCTGCAGCCTGTGCCAGGGCGGGCAGCTGAGCAGCCCTGAGCCTGGGGCTGTCTCTTCAAAGCAGGTGACCTCAGTTGGATGCTGGTGCTCAGCGGTAGCAAGGTGGCCCCCAAAAAACACGGGTCTCCTCATTTTCTACCATCAGACAGGGCTGCCCAGGGCAGAAGAGAGATTTGGGGTCTTTGCATTTGAGCTGCTCTCAAGTGCAAGTGCCATGACACGCACATCACCATGTCAGTCCTGTGCTGGCTGAGCTGGGAAGTGAGGGTGTGCAAAGGAAACATATTTTACCTTAACTTCTTGCATTTTCAACAGTCCACGAAGCTTTCCCCAGTTTCGATTTCCAGACTGAACCTTTTCCCCAGTGGCTGTTACATGGGAGGGGGTGTGTGTGCCATGCCGTGCCATATGTGCAGGACTGAGAAGAAAAATCCCATTGCCTGGTTGTGTCATGGGAGGAAAAAGCCCAAGGATGCAGCAGAAAGGGGGGGCTCAGGCTGTGCAGGCAGCAGGAGCCCCTGCCCATGGTGCTGCTCTCCCCAGGGCTACCTCTGGGACAACAACCAGGTGGTGGTGGAGTGGCTGGAGAAGCACATGCAAGGGGACGACGGCACCCAGTCGGCCATCTGGGAGAACATCAAGTACTTGAAGCGGGACTACATGCTCAAGCACATCCGGAGGTGAGCGGCTGCGGGAGCTGGGATGCGAAGGGCAATGCTGTCCCCTGGGTTGAGGACAGTGGGTGGTGGAGATGAGGCGGTTCTTGCTTCAGCCCCTGAGGTAGCTGCCCTCTCCTGTCTGCCTTGCAGCTTGGCCCAAGCCAACCCCGAGGTGGCCATGGACTGCATCATCCAGATGGCTCAGCACATCACCCGTGCACAGAAGGCCCAGGTTGCCCGTCTCCTGTCGACGGTGGATAATGATGTCCCATCTTGAGCCGGTGGCCGGCGGCGTGCAGGGCAGGAGGGGCACTGGGACACGCTGCTGCTCAGAGGGCAGACCTTACCTCCCCACCTGGTTCGTCAGCCCTCAAACTGAAGCCTGGGACTCCTACTTGTGTGCCTAAATAAAGGACGCCAGTGTTTGTATTTTAAGCCATGAAGATGGTCTCTCCATCCATGCAAAGTTCCCTCTGGCACTGGGGGTTTTCATCAGAGGGGCAGCTTGGCAGAAGATAAACTTGGCCCAAGCCAAGTCTGGAGTCTGGAGCTGGTGCAGAAGTTGGTTTTAAAAAGAATCTAAAATCTTTTACTGTGTTTTAGTTGCAAGCCCTGGCCTTAGTCTTTAAAACAAACACCAGTGTCAGACGTATCTCATGAGACTGGACGGAGCTGGAAGTACAAATCGACTGGCCCAGGCACCACAGGGGAGCGGGACGAAGGAGGAGGTCTCCGTACAGCCCTGTTGAAGCTGACCAGGCACCGGCACAAGGAAATATAAACCCTGCTTAAGAAGCAGTCTCAAACTGATGTTTTATAATAAACTCAGGAAATGTGAGGAGCAGTTTCTCTCATCCTTCCCCTTGTTGGGGAGCAATCAGTAGATGTGACTATGAGTAGCTGATGGCCCAGAAAAGACATTGGCGAGCTATGCTGTGAGCTGTTGCAGCGGGGACTTCAACAGATCTACCACGGTTTGACTGATCCTCCTGTTCCTCTCGCCCGTCCCGTGTCCTTTCTGGCTCCTGCCACAGCTCCTTTGGGTGTTTTCAGCCTGTGACTCCTGTGGAGGACGGAGAGGAGGGAGCTCTGGGTGCTCCTGCCTCAGCGACCCGGTTCCTCTGCTGCAGCACAGGAGCCAGGGTGAGCTCTCCGTCTGCTCAGACCTGTGCTTTGCTTCTTGGGTGGCCTTTAATCAGCTTGGTTCACAGAGGGGAAATTTGAATATGTGCTTTCCAGTGTCTCTGGCTGTGTGGGTGCGTCATTTCACCAGCACAGGTTTAGCTTTGGCTTGCAAAGGGGGAGGCAGGATGGCGATGGAAGGTGGGACGCCTGGTTCAAGTGCAGTGCTGGTATTGCCACGGTGTGGAGGCGTTGGACACCTCCTTGGTCATGCCTGGGCTGGGGGCTCCTGCCAGGGTCTGCGGGGAGGTCTCCCTGTCCTGGGGTTGGGGGTGGAGAGGGCCTTATGAGATGCTTACTGGTTTGAAAGTTGTCACTGCACTTTGTCAGGGAAAGGGGGTGCTGATGCTCGCCTAACGGGAGCCAAACCACCGCCAATAAAGTGAGCACAGTTCTCAAGGAAGTTTTCCTGAGCTCTGTTTCTTTTGTCATTGTATAAACGCGGCGGATCCGAGCAGGGGCCGGTGCCTCTGCCGCTGTGTGGCCCCCTCCCTGCAGCACAGAAACTGCCTTAGTACAGAGCAGCTCGTAGCAGCCCTCCTGCGAACGCCTGTCCCTAAACCAGAGCTCTTCCACACATTCAGGCACAGAGGTTTTCAGGAACAGGTTGACAGAACAGAAAAAGAGTTCATACAGTAAATACCTGTAAACTCTTATTCTCCTGGAGGACTTGAGCCAGGGACAAAGCCTCGGCTTGGACATAGTATTATGTCTGTAAAGGCGACGAAGCCTGGGCAAAGCTGCTCTTTTAGAGATAAGCTCTCACTTCCATTTGCAGGTGGGCGCTACAAATGCTTTGTGCATGGATGAGATCCTTTTCTGTTAGTGCTGGCATGTGAACACGCAAGTCTTAGATTCAAGAGAAGGGCCTGCTCCTCAGCACGCTCGGACACCGCGGATGGAGTCAAACATGTCAGAGCTTTGTCCTTTTGTCAACGTCCATAAGTTGTATGAAACTATTTCCTCGCTGGGTTGGATTTCCAGTAGCAGATGCCTCGGAATTACTGTTTAATGCCGAGCTGCAGCATGCCATGTGGCAGGGGTGCGCCTGACACCAGAGTAGTCGTAATGCAGCACATCTAGAATGACCCAGGCTTAGTGCTAAGAAATATTTATTTAAAAAAAATGAAGACATCGTAGATGATGCCAGTCACAGCAAATGATCATCAATCATCACATTTGTTCTTGAGCAATAAATTATGATATGGAGCATCGTGCCCTTTTGGAAGAGGTTGCCATGGACATATGCACTGGGGAAGATACAGGCAAGACATTTTCTAGCCCCTGATCTTCACAAGAGTCATTTTCCGCCGGGTGGCTCCAGCGTCCTGCACCCTCTGGGTTTCTACTACAGGGACTTAAGCTGGAGAGGCTTTGTGCCTCCACCCAGCCCCAGCCCTACTCAGCGTGGGAGAGAGGAGCCTGTGAGCACGCGGGTACAATACCGGGAACTGACAGACGGGGAAATCCTATTAACGCACAGGAACAGACAAAACATGAGATATAAATATTACTTCATGGTCACAGAGGTATAAGTAAACTAAATGCTAAATTCCAACATACAGTCTGCTTTTTATATTTTCAGATGTTTCATCACATTTTTTGCAACGTATGTTACCAAGTATAAAGCAGAATTTGAAAATTTAAAAAACTACATTAGAATCAATTTTACTTGGTTAATTAGGAAAGAAAGACTATTATGAATTGGTATGGTACAGTTACAATATTTGGTCTCTGAATTTTTTTTAAACAGCATGAGTTTCACAGTATCAAAAGTGCTTATTTAAAAGAAATGTAGTGTAACAACAGTGATTAAAATTGTTGCATTTTTGATTATGAATAATTTAGTGGATGTAAAACAGGTTACTGCAGCATTTTTAAAAATTGAACAGTGCTCAGTTTACATAGTTTCTTTTCTCTTCATAACAATAAATATAAATAAATTTACAAATAGTAATACTGCCTAGCACGAGAATAGACAGAAGCACAATACACAAGACTATAAACAAATCTAATCTTTCTTTAAAAAAATCCTAAAAATAGGCATAATTCCTAAATTCTTCTAGCCAGTGATCAGTTTAATAATTCAGTAGTACCACTTCCTTCACAGGGTAAGGACTTTGTTTTTAAACCTAGATATAACAGTTGTCTGCTACGGGTTTGATTTTTCATTTTTAGTATTTTTGCTCATTTTTTCCTACCTCATAACAATAAATTAACAATAGTTACGTCAGAAAAGTGTTAGTGGTGCAAGTGCCTCCAGAAACTGTGTGGGGTCTTTGTTCAATGGCAATAGTTATTTGGCAATTTAAGAAAAAAGATATACATGGTACATGATCAACCATTTTGGACTCCAACTTGGTGCTGACCAGCCCGTTGACTTGTGTTGGCTTCTGTGTAGGTGGTGACCAAACAGCGTCAGCATTTAAGTCCAGACACAGTGTCGATTAAATGTGTTTACCTTAACTGGACTATTTTTTAGCTCAGTTAGTTACATTCTAGTGAAAGTTCCTGCTGACTGATGCCTTCCAGGTCCTTCTTGAGAGCTCACCAGTCCTGCAACACAAGTGTCCGTGGCCCTTCCTCAGTCTTGCCACGTGTGAAAGTGGTTCTACTAGTAACAGTTTGTTTTATTTTGGCATCGCATGCTGTGTCCCGGTAAATAGCCAACACGTTCCAAGTGTCTGCAGGAGGAGCTCTTTTATTGCTTTCAGGTCGGATTTTAATGGTTGGGAGAAACTGGCCCCTGAGTCAGAGGTCCATGGAACGGTGCAAAACTCAGAGCAGAGCGATGGGTTTGTTGCCTTGGGGGTTCATGTACTGAGCTGCCGCTACGTTGTCCAGTGTCGTGTAAGTGGTATAAAGGCCGGTGACCTGCAAGTCTGAGAAGGAGTGATCGCTGCCGCTGGAGACAGGGGTGAGGCCAGGCGTGCCCAGGTCACAGTCTGAGAGGTGGAGCGGGGAGTTGCTGAAGGCACCCAGGGTATCAAGGCTGAAGCTGTCGTCTTTCATTTCCTCCCATATGTTACCTTTAAGAGATTAAATTCCGGTCACAGCAACACATCCAACCCACCCGGGCACTGTGTGTAGGGGTCAGTCCATAACTAAAGGGCGTTACCTGCTGCTTAGGACCAGTGCTGCTTGCGGATGGTACCATTTGTAGCACAAAGGCAGTAAGAGTGTTTGTTGCCCCCGAATTGCCCTGGTTCCAGCAGGAGTCCAGACCTTTCTGGGCAGCATCTATCTACCATGTGCTAACCAGAAATCCAGGGCCACGCTAGGCATTGCCATGAGCCAGGGAAGTTCTCCTTTTACAGAAGGGGAAAACCAAGGCACAAGTAGAGCTATGGTTTCCCATGGGCAGAGAGATGTGTGTCCCAGATCCAGCCAGTTGGACATCCCTGCCTACACCTACTGCAGCGCCTGCACTTCAACCCTGAAGGCTGTTTGCTGTCCCATCTAGCACAGGGCAGAAATGCACCGAGGAAGGCCAGGGAAGTCACGCCGCAGAGGCCAGCACCCAGCGCAAGTTTTTAACTCCGTTACATCCCACCCCAGAGCATCCTGCTGAGGACCCTGGTTATGTATTCAGTGACTACATAACCACATAAATCATGCCCTCCCCTACCCCAGCTTCCTCCTCCCATACCTTGCAATGCAAAATCCATAATGCTTGGGTCAAGAGCATCCACCTCCGTGTTCATGTCTGCTGTCACGTTCAGGAAGTCCGGAGGCGCGCATCCCATGGGATGGTGGGGAAGAGGGCTGTGGCTCATGTCAGGCAGAGTATGGAGAGGAGGCGTTTGTGCAGGTGCTGGTGAGTCTGGGGCGATGCGAGCCTGGGTCTGGATCTGGTGATGCAGGGGGATGGACTGCAGCGAGAGTGTCATGATCGGCTGAGGCTGCAGCTGGGAGATGGCGATCCGGCCTTGGGCTGCTGCCATGTGGTTCAGGGTGGAGATCTCCGGCTCTGCCTGTTTGCTGGGCCGCCTGCAGTTCTCAGGTCTGTCAGTGATCAGCCTGTCTAGCTCCTCTGCACAAGCGATACCCATTCCCAAGGAAGAAAAGAGACAGTTTGACCCATTTGTTCAAGCAGGGCCCGGCCAAAGCATTTCACAAGTAAGCACAGCCACACGCTGTTGCCACAAAACTGAACAGGCAGTGTCTGTCACTGTACGAGATGCAGCACAGGAGGCAGGCTTTGACTGTGCAGAGAGCAAAGAAATGCCACCTACTTCCCTACCCTTAGCCCTTACCCTACTCGACTTCCATGGTTACCCCTAACTGAGCTAAAGAGATGATCACATGAGACTTGCACAGAGCAACCAAGCCACCACCGACGGCAGCTGGCCCACAGTCGCAGAACTAAGCATCCTCAGTAGGTCTCCTGCTCATAGGGATACTCTGGATTCTGCTTGTATCTCAAATAAGATTCGTACGAGAGACTCCCGACAGTTTCAATGGCACTTTTGTTTTTAAGCAAAGGAGAATGTAATTTATCATTGATTGTATGTTACAGATTTTGCAGCAAAAAACTCCAGTTGATTTTGCCAATATTGAGCTCCTGAAAGCTTCAAAACCATGTGTCTTTATAAATAAGAATGAGAAAGTCTTAGTAAAGGGAGAGCTTGTCAGAGGAGCAGGCAAAAAACTGCATTAAAACGTGACATTATAAATACTAACACTGGAGGCAGCATAACTCCTCAGAAGGCCCTGGATGTGATAGATATAGGTTAGCATTGGGGAAAAAGACAATCCATTTCGAAGCTGGGGACCGATTTGCACTGAAGGCCTCCAAAAATAGCTGTCAGTGCAGTTACCTCCTCCTGCTGTAGCGTATCGCCCTGTCATACAACCTTGGGGCAGCAGCAATGACTTCATTCAGTGCAGAGCACGGGGCATTTCAGCCGAGCAGCTCAGAGGAGGCCGTTGCAAGGCATGAGAGCTCTGCACTAGCCAGCTCTGTTCCATATAACTTATTTCTTAAGATTCATGCATTCCTGGCCAAACAGCCACGTTTCCCCCTTGCCTTTCATACACATAGCAAAAGCATAATATAAGCCCTACCTGGGTTAGCCATGCTCCTGTGAATAGCAGCTAAGTCCTTCCGCTTCCACTTCTGCATCTCCTCTTCCATCTTGTCGATCTTGGCAGGATTGAGAGCCCACAGGCACCCTTTGCGAGAGGTGCCACTCATCTTGTTCTCCACCTTCTCAAAACACTTATTCAGAGACAGGTTGTGGCGCACGGAGTTCTTCCAGCCATCAGGGGCTGTCTAAAAGATGCAGGAGGATGTTAGTGAAATAAGCCATGAACAAAGTATTCGTGATGTTCTACTTCCACCCTTCAGGTGTACGCGTACCTTGAAGTAGGGAAAGTGCTCCTTCATGAAGCTGTAGATCTCGCTCACTGGGAGGCTGCCTGTTTTGCTGTTCTTCAGCGCCATTGCAATCAAACAACTACAGGACAAAGAAATACACGAAATAACAGATTGCGTGTACTTAGCCATCATGCCTTCTTCTGGTCTAGCAACCTCGGACCCATCTCTTAAGACACAGACAGCTGCCTGATCATGGGATTACCGTTCTCAAGTGCTCAGAAGTCACCCTGTGATCCTGCAGATCTTACTCCTCTGTGCTATTACTCTACCTTTATGCTGATGTCCAGGAACTAGTTTGCTTGTTCATTCCTGCTACCCCTCAGAGGCAGCTTCCACAGAACTCCTGGGCGGATGACGGGATTTTTGTTCCCTTCAAAAGGAAGCAAACACTCTCGTGCCACCACACCTACAGTGTTACAGTCATCCCAATGCAGGCTGTAGGCAATACGCTATTCTGCTCTCCACTCACCTATATGAATAGATCGGCTTGGGGTAATGCTTTGGATGCAGTTCCTGGGCAGAGTGAGGAGCCAGGCATGGCTGAGAATAGTGTGGCTGAGTCCCATAGGATGTGTTGTAGATTGCTGCTGGGTTACACTGTATGCAGAAGGAAAAGAAAGAAAATGTCAGATGCAAAACGACCGTGGGTATGTAGGTTTAGGGATATTTTATTGTTTTTCTTTCAAAAGAGTTCTAGATATGATTTTGGCACGTACTTCAAGACACAGATGACAAGCAAATAACAGTACCTGTTGTGTGTTCTGTGCTAGGGCAAACACTTGCTGTGAATGAGGAGGAGGAAAGAGTTGTTGCTGTGTTTGTAAACTAGGAGATGGCTGCCCACCTACAGCGTACTGGCTCATCTGCTGAGATAAAGACAACAGACATGTCAGTCTTGAAATTACCAACGTCTTTTCCTAAGAAGTGTTGCAATAATAAGCCATCGAGGCCTGCTTTTACATTTGCTCCGTGTGTTGAAATAGAATTCAGTCCCAGGATTCCCTGTGGCAGGCTGGCCTGGACATGAATCATTGCTCCAGGTGCTCCTGTCGAGTGCATATTGCTTGCTACAGGACCTATTTTGGAGAAAGCAAAGGCAGTGAATGTTTGCGTGAAAGTACACTTCAGAAAAGAGAGCTGACATTTATTTTTAATAGACGCAGTTGAACACAGCTAAGCTCTGGAGTGGATAATCACACCTCTCTGTGGCTTTCCATCCCAAAAGAACCCAGAGCATTTCACAAATTGCAAAGATGACATCAGCTGCTTCTAAAACTTGTTATGCAGGGAATGAAAGATGACAGCTGTTTAACAGTCCACAGTGGTGTTACAGACACAGTATCTTACAAAAGAAAAAAAAACATATTCAGCACTATCTGTACTCCAGAAGGATTTCTGCTCTAAAGCAAGCAAGATGATACCCTGTGCTCTCTCAGCAGAATGCCTCAGGGAACAAATGTGTTTACCTAAAGGATGTTCACAAAGGAAAGAAAGGCGTTCAATGAACATATGCTGTAAGTCTGTATGAAGCAAACAGGTATGGGGTAAATAAGGTACTCTTAATTTTATCAGTGTTGAAACAAACAAGAAAGACTAATTACCTAATTTCAAAGCTGTCGAAAACCTCTGAAATGCAAGTCTTAAATACCTTGGCCCAAGTTCACGCAACGAGGCACCAGCAACTACACTGAGCAGAAAAGCCAATCGGAACCTAAGATCTCTGTTGTGACTGCGAGGGCTCTCTGCCTCTTGAAATGAAGGAAATGTATCAGCAATACCCTTATCAGAAGACGACAGGCTCCAGGTCTTCTGACAGGAAGCGAAATGTAATGCACTTAAAAGGAATCTACTACTAGGAAAGCTAGCCTGTGTGAGGGAGAAGAAAGGAGGCAGTAGGCTGTGTTGTTTAAAGAGCAGTTATTTAACATCCTAACAGTTTACCTGTCTGTTGTAGCACTGCATTCTGGGCACCAAGGCTAAAATCCATTCTTCCACTGGCCATCTGTTGTAACCGAGGAACATCAACAGATGTCAGCCACGACAAGGACTGTAAGTCACTGGGGAGGTCATCTTCACTCAGCTGGGAGGGGTTAGAAGCTAAGAGTCTGCAAAATAGCATGAAAGGTTAGCAGAGAGCAGAGATGCTGCTACACTGTCCCTGGTAAGAGGGGAGATGACTGGGATGCCAAAGCTCACGTAGGTCAGCAGGGAAAACACGTCGGCCTGGAACTCCGTTTGCAGAATTCACATGCGACCTTTGGTTTCACAGCTGGCTGGTTACTGCTGCACTTTACTTAATCATGTGTTCCTTCATACAATCTCAAACATTTTAGTTAAGAAAACTTCTTGTGCAGTATTTGTAGGGGAAGAAGGCATAAGAACCTGGAAGAGAAACCGCCTAGAAACATAACCAGAGCTGATTCATTATTTTCACATTTGTCAGAAATTTGCACTTGTTTGGCCTCGATGTAGAAGAAACCTGTCAGGACTTTTAACCTGACAATTTTGCATTAACCTTGAAATCCAGTGACCAGCCAGCCTTGGAAGAAGTTCCCGTGCCTAGCTCCTCAAGGACCTGTGTATGCTGCTGGCTTGAACACCTGGAGAGGGCTTTTCCCAGCCACCGCATCCCGTCGGTGGGGACGGATCAGCGGAGAGTTGCTGCATAAACAAAACCTTACAGAATGAACTGGTGATCTCTTCCATTCAGATACATGAAGTTATTGATACTTAACAAGGAACCATGAAGCATATAAAACAATTTTTTAGACAGTTTTTGACATACTAAATGATCAGAATGAAAAGCTAGTGACTGAATGCACAGTAACACCCAGCCTGCCTTTAGCTGACAAAACCGAGGCATAACGATGACAGGCTGCTTTTGGTTTAAAGCTCTGTTTTTGATACATTCTGCATGCTCCATCCCACCTGTTTTATTTTGCGTCTGATAGACTGCGTGGTACAAAACTGAAATATTGAAATATATTTATAGTACTCAAAAATTCCTGTGTGGTCAAAACTCCAACTGAAGTCAATGAAAGGACTATTGCAAATGAAGAGCTAAACTACTTTGACTTATATTAAACAGTATTACAGAAGTCACGGGTATCAGGAGGAGTAAAGCAGTAATTAGAACATGTCAGGAAGTTATCATTAGATACCCAGGGTAAACACAAAGGGATTCAGGTCCAGGAAAACATCTTTCTCTTTCAGAAGAACATAGTTTAGTCGGATGTAGTTGATTTTGCATTCAAAACAAAGGCTTTAAGAGCTCTGTCATAGATATGTTAAAGCCAGCTGCGTTGTACTAATGTGTGTTCGTTGCCAAATGACGATGCAGAAGCCTTAAATAAATCTGGTCTCTTGCTGAAGCATCTTTTATGTTTTACACGATTCTAAATCAGCTTAAAAGAACAAGGCAGAAGTCTAGTGCCTGGCTGCCCAGGAGCTTTCAGCTCCTCTATTCATGATTTCCAGAAACACGTATCAAAGTTCCCTAAACTATTATCTGGGAGATCTTTAAAGCAGAATGTAATTTATTTGTTTGTAAAAAGATTTTGAAAAGAAGAAAAGGAAAAAAAAAACCCAACACCTGACCAGGAGCCAAAAGCTCAAATCCTGGCCAAAAAACATCTTCAAATCTCTCTCCCAGCCTACCCTGTTTTCTTTCTCCTACTGTAGTTATAGTGCAATAATTAGCATTGCCATGGTTACCGCTGTTCAGTTATTTTGAGAGGCCTTGGACTTAAATACATAAAAAGACTATCAGGTGACGGCTCTCCCGCCCGGAGATTGGCTGGATTGGAAGTAAACAAGAGCATTAAATGATTTGAAAACTGGGCAGGCTCATGTCGTTTGCAACAGTTGGGCCCATTCATGGGAAGCCGATAACCCATTGTGCCGCCAACGACTGCTGCCTGGTGGCACGTGGCCTCGATTGTTTTTGAGATTCCTGCTTAATTGTTTCCCCCCCCCCTCCTCCTTTTTACAAACTTCACATTAATCTGGCTGAATGACAGCCGACACACAACACACATCCACATGCCATCTGGCACCCCGGTCCCTGCCAGTCCTCCCAGACAAGTCAGCTCCTTCAACAAATAACGGGGTCAGATGGGCGGTGAGGGTCAGCACCCACTGCACACGCCTCCTGTCAGGCAATGAATCCGCCACATGCCCTCCCCGCTCCTCCGCATGGGACGAGCATCTCCGCACCGGAGGACCGCGGGAGTCACGGTGGTTCTCAGCAGCCTTCCCAGCCTTAGCTTTTTGGGAAACAAAGGCCTCTGCTTCACACTCATCCTAGGTGCACTCATCCTGGTGCTCTTTCTAGACGTGGGAATGACTGGTGGTACCCTGGGCACAGTTGGATGCCATCAGAAGCTTGAACTACAGCTCTCCTACTTGCCAGTTAGCATCGTGCAGCGTACCCCTCTCAGCATCCTCGTGATGCAGACCCACACGGCTCTCTCCCTCTCGCACTAACACTGTGGATCCAAATGGGGGCAAGGAAGGTGACTGAACTTTTAAGTTGATATAGCAGTCGTTAAGCTCCATTTTAAACAAATATGAAGGTGCAATAATACATAATAACTAGACAAAGTGTGCAGCTCAGCTCTTTTTCCAAGACAAAGATGTTTTCTTCCCTTCCTCATTCTAGCAAGGCATGGCCGTTTGAATTTGAGTTTACAGTTCTTTTAAAATCACCTCTGGCCGTTCACTTACTTACACTTTGTTTACAGTTCTTTTAAAATCACCTCTGGCTGTTCACTTACTTACACTTTTTTTTTTTAATGGATTTGTTAGTTGTCAGAATAACTGTTTTCATTAATAATGGGGAAAAAAGTAGATTTAATCAGAATAAAATATTTCACATTGAAGGATTATTCTTCAGGTTGTCTTCAAAACCAATGTTGAAATTTCATATGTCTTAAAGAAGGTGAAATTTCTTAAAGTATGCCCATCGCTGTCTGACTGAGGTGTTTTAAATGCCCAGATACATTCTGCAGCATAAAACCAGCCTACCTCCCAGTACACAGGCTCAATGCGTGTCCTGCTTTCAGTGAAACAAATGCTAATCTGACTGCCTCTGGGAAGAGAGCTATGCACAGTAATACTTAACATTTTAATCTCACAGGTTTCAATCTTTCTGACCTGAAAAATTGCCTGTGCCAAGCCAACTACAAATATATAAGTACATACTGTAATACTGGGTGTACTTTGATTCTGTTCCCCTCCACCACCCTTTTAGTCTCACGTTTGAGGGTAAACTTCAGGAGTCAGAGATCCTGCCTTTAGATGGGTGTTCACGGCCCCTGGCACAATGGGGCACTGTAGTAAAAGCAGCCATTTCCTTTCAATGCATGTAAATGAGATAAATAGTGATACGCTATAATTAATGCACACTACTGAAAATGTCCCCAGCTGCACGTTCCCCAGGGCTGTCTGGTATATACGCTGAACTACTAAACCCCTATGAAGAAAAGGTTACAGTCACACCAAATGTGTTCCAAACTCGATATTATTTTTAAAGGTGTGGTGAAATTATGCAACTCCATTTTTACCCCTCTCCTGTCAAATCTCTGCAGGAAAACACCCTTCTGTTTCTATGTGTTTCTATCCTAGAAAGGCACCTGCATTAGTAAGAATCCACATGATGCTGAGGATTTAAGCCCCAGTTCTCCGCTATGTATCAGAGGATGCTGTCCTCCTGTGAAAAGTGCCCTGAGAGCTGTGATAGGTATGATACAGAAATGCTCAGTGGTAGCGTTAGTCTTTGCTATCTGCTCTATCATGCACTGCCCAAAATATTTATCTAATCAGGGCAATAGATTTTGGCCACCAGCCAGCCTGCACAAAGTTTACTTTTCCAGAATTGGGAAAAATACCACTTGGAATGAAACCCCTTTCCAGATCTCTCGATACTGAGCTCCAGACCTTCCTGCCTGCAGTCACGGAGAAATTGGACTCCTGCATTGGTTGCACATCTGACAAAGCTCACTAGAGCCTGTCAGCAGTGCAAAATCATGGGTTAGATGTACCTAAAGATATCTCTGCTTTTTTTCCCCCCCATCAAGTATATCCTGCTGGCACAACAGCTAGCTAGATGGAATGAAATTCATTCCTGGCATAACCTTGCAGGAATCTACAACTAACATCAGAGTTGAATTTGGATCTATATTCATAGATCTAACTTTACCATCTTTCCTCACATTGAGCTGTCCTAATGAGCTGGATCTAAGGTAGTTCATCACCGCAGAAACTGCTGTCAAGGTGAACTACCCAATTCTATATTTGCAAACGCCATAGTATGGTGAACTTGTCACTGGAGACTATAGGGACCGTCTCTTCAACAGCGTCATAGAATAGTCTGCCAAACAAGTTTGTTAAGACTAAAGGAAAGCTCAGCAACGACAAGCATACCTTAAGGTATTTTATCTCCAGATAGTTTAGCCAATAACTGGGTGTTTCAGTTTATGATGTGGTGTGTAGTTACATATTTCTATGCATATTGCACCATTCACACTTCAGAGGACTCTGTGTGCTTGTTTGCTCTGGAGACTGTCCCTAAAAGATACAAAGCACTCAAACTGGTTGATGTTGTAGGGCAAATCTAATGCTACAGGTTCTCTCAAAGGGATTAGTGTGTGGTGGCAACTCATCATTGCCTCCGTTCTAAACAAAGTCAGACCAAAACATTGCGGTTGCATTTGGCATATTCAACTTCAACCATAGTTTTAAGATGTCTCTTACTCAATGGACAATTTTTATTACCATTGCCAGCACTGACATCTGACCTTTTTGCCTATGCTTAAGTAATACAACTATTCAACAAGTAGGAGCAATCAGGGGTGATAGATTCTTAATTAGCTGTTTGCAATGGTTTATCCAGTGTGAGTGACAATTGAACAGGAAGAGTCCTAAGAAAACCTCTTCTTGAAGTGGTGATGAGAAACTGTCTTCTTTTGTCTGGGATTACGTAATGTCCTCAGAACAAGCGTGGTGATTTCTCATGTAAAACAACACAAGGAAAATATTTATGTCTTGTGACCCTTCAGCTGTCTCCATGGTGAGAAGTATTCTCCGTTTTATTGAAGGAGTCAAC